AGCGGGATTTCGGAATATTGTAAAAAATAAGGTCTGTGGAAAACGAACCTGTTTGATAAATGCACGTTTTGTTCAGTCGGATAATCTCCACATGTCTCCCCCACTTTTATAACTTTCCAATCGTAAATCTAATCGCCAGAAGCAAAATGCTAACGTTATGCTATAAACGAACTACAGCAGGGTCGCTGCTTCAACGTCACGCCAACTTAAGATCCATATTCAAAACTACAGATTCTAAATAGTACAAGTTGAAGCGTTTGTTTGAACAGTTAGCAGGAGGCAGGAACTTGCTTTCAAGCAGAACAGGGCAAACTTAGAGGGGTGTTTACGTGTTCGGTGTAATGACGTAAAACGGCCTCGACAACTTCTGTAGTCCTATTCAGCCACTTGGTAACAACCATCGTTTTTCAGACACGTCAACTCTTCAGAAATCACCAGTGGGGTCACTGCTGATGGATTTAATGTTGTAGAACAAAACGTGACCCGTCTCTTAAATGTGTCTCAACCACAGACCTTATTTCAGATATTTTCCAAAAACTAGTTCAAAATCCCGTTGGCTCTGAGACGAGGGAACAGGAAGTGGTAAAATGCTAACTCACTTCCTGGTTTTAGGACTCGTCACTGCACCACTCTATGGCTCAGCTGGAACTCCAGGAGTCCGTCCCTCCGAAGAAAAACACAACTCGTCTCCACACGTTCAAAGTAAAAGTGTCCATGGCAGTGAAGCAGGAGTCTCTGCTCGTCTCAGGCGTAGAACACGAGCTCGGGGATCTGTCCTCCCTGCACCCCGGTGCCGTTGGTGCTGTCCGAGGAGCACTGGAACTGGAAGGTCACTTTCCCGCACTGAACCTCCGTCATGCCCTCCTGCCCGAAGTAGCTGAGCTCGTTCCCGTCCAGCACCACGCTGGCGGTGTAGAAAGTGTCGGGCTCGATCTGCACCGGGTAGTCGAAGCTGACGGGGAACGTGCTGCTGGATCCGTCAGAGAAGTACTTGATGTTCCTCTGAGCCATGGACACGCCCTGGCGCTTCAGCTCGATCTTAGCGCTGTATTCTGCCGAGCCGCAGCTGGATCCGTACAGACCGAATCCCGCGATGAAGACCCGTTTGTCCACGGCGAACTGGATGCTGTCGCAGCGCCCTCTGTATCGCCACTGGTTGCTCCTGTAGGCGCACGACTGGAAGCGGTGGCAACGCTGCGGCGCCAAACCTTTACGAGCTTTGCTGCAAAACAAGAGTTCGGGCTTCTTGGCGGCGGTGAACCACAGGAAGATGTCGTTGGTTTCGTTGAGCGTGAGCACGCCGGACTGCGCCGCTCCGTCTGCAAAGTCCTCAAGCACCATGGTGGGGATGCGGATCAGGTAGATGGCTTTCCCCAGAACCAAGCGTTTGTTCTCGATCGTCGGCGACAGATCTTGGCGTTGACACTCCGCCTCGGCCCAGTTCAGCGCCGCCTCGAACACCACCATCTCTTTGGCGTTGAGAGTCTCCCGCTTCAGGATGCTCTCCAGCGTCTGAGAGTCGATGTCGCAGAAACCCTCGGAGCGGAGGGCGAGCTCGGCCTGAGCATCGATCACCTCCCAGCAGCGCTGCGTCAGGTCGGGCTCCTCAAACAGGCAGCTCTGGGACAGAAGCACGCAGGCGTTCTTGGCGCTCAGGCTGGTCTCCAGGAAGTTGACGCAGGCCCGCGCCAGGTGAGGTACGATGTACTTTTTAGCGGCGTACAGGGTGGCGAGCACCGTGTCAGCGCAGAGGTCGATCTCATCGCAGTAGATATACCTGAGAATTTAAAAGATGGGATTAAAGCCTTCAAATCAAATCAAAATGTATTTTAGCCCCAATTCACAAGAAATGCCTCAAAGGGCTGTACAAAGCAAACTAAACTTCAAAAGCTTACATTTAACTTGTTCTTATTTTATAGTGGAATACAACTAGGTCACGATTGTATGTACTGTGAAGTATATTGTTTTAATAGGAACAAAGCAAAATGCCCACAGTCCATAAACACTGAATGAATCTGAGACATACTTCATCATGGCGAGGAACGACGGCGGCTCCACGTCAGGGATCCGGATCTCTTCCTGATCCTCGGCCAGTTCTCCATAAAACATGGCGTGGAACACGGAGCTGCCGACGGCCAGGACGTACTGACAGAGCAGAGGAGCAAGTATAACAACATGAGAGACACGATCTCCATTTAAAACAGACACAAATGTGACGCCATAACTACACTGTAGCTATGTACGTATGACTAATAAAAGCCTTGAACCTTTCAGTCTGATATTTGGACTATTGTCTGATTATTATGACTTAACTTATTTGCTGTTATGACAAGACAATGAGGTTAATAAGTTGCAAACTTATCAAAAGATTTTTCAACATCAAAGGTTTCCCTGTTTTGCATGTTCTGCTTTGTTCTAGTGTCCAGTTTTTGGCCTCCTAGCCTTGTTTTATACCTCATTCACACCAACGCAACCCCGGTTCAAGCTCCGTGCTAGAGCTTTTCAGGTTCAGAACCGGTTCTTTTCACACTGCCCAGAGTCCGAATGGTGCTGCGTCATTGCGTCATCGTTTGCGTCATCGTTTGCGTCATGACGTGCCTGCTTCATAAAGCCAAACCGTGCGGAAACCCCTCACAGCTGACACCGACAACAACAACAATGGCCGATTTTGCTCCAGCTTCCTCTGTACCTCTTTGGAAGACCAGATTCCCAGTAGGTAGCTGGTCTCTTCAGTGGACCACTGCTGCTTGTTAAGTTTCTCCATCGTTGTGTACAAACTGGATAAAACGCCGGCTTTTTGTTGTTGTTCAGGAGTTGATCCCGCCCCTGCCCCCGCCTCGACGTAAGCGTGACGTATGTGGTGCTTTTGCTCTATCTGGACAATTTTTTGGTGCTCGAAATGAACCGGATTCCGGAGCTAAGAGGCTGCTCCGCTGCGGTGTGAACAGGAAAACCCAGTGCTTTTCAAGCTCCAGCTCCGAACCGGCCCTGAAACACCGTTGGTGTGAATGAGGTATTAGTCAAAGGAAAAAAGAATAAACTATCTTTTATATAACTGCGTATGACAAATCAAGAACCAAAACAGCTGTTCATGGTCTCCCTCTTTAAAAGCATCACAGTTAATGCATGGAGAAAACCAAACTGTGTGATCTCAGATTGTGAAGGGTTGTACCTTATGTCCTGGTACTCGCTGCGTCCCGCCAGGTGGTCCGACCACAAAGTGAACATCTGCCATCGTCTCATTGTTGAACATGACTGAATTCCTACAAGGACACAAAAAAACAATGATTGTTATTTTGGTTGGAGACACCTGGGAGATGCCTGAAAACCTCCTAGAGCCTCGTGATCATACACAGTACGCTCAGATTATCATTCTAGTCATTTGGATTGTCTCTGTTATATCAGTATGTTGTTAAAACTTCATATCTTCCTGTAAACTCAACATATTATGCTCGTATGGATCTCTCCATAGGCGTTACAATCATGGTACATTAAATTGACATGACCTTAATTTTTTTTACATTATCAACTTTTTCTAATATATGGACATTATGTCAAGCATTTGTTCAAATCTTGATATTGCTCCTTGTATTTTCTTGCGTGAATGAACAGAAAGGTTTCCCCTATCAAAGTAAGACGTGGGCATTGTCACATTTTAATTGTGTGATTCTATCGTATCTCTTTAATTAATATAGGATTCAGTTTCAAATACCAGTCCAAGGTCTGAATGGTCTTTAGCATTAAGTGTATTGCTCTTGGAAAGGCTATACTGACATTATGATATCAGATTATCATTATATCAGTGGCATAACGTGGTGTTTAAATGACACTAAGATTGTGAATCACAATTGTTTCTGGGGACAATGTATAAACCATTACAAATGAGTTATAATGACAGGTCTAACCTCTCCTACACCTATCACCCAGCAGCCTGCACCTGCCTCAAACATCTCATCACTATTATATATTATATATCTGTAGTTTGGTGTGTTCGGGCTGACCTCTCCCGGATGGTCGGGTATAGGCCCTGCCAGTTGCAGCAGCTCTGGTTGCTGGAGTTGTTGTTGGTCTGGTTCTGCTGCTGGTACTGCTGGATGGAGGATGAGGAGGAGGAAGAGGTGGCGGTGCTGCTCGCTGAGGTGGAGGGGACCAGCTTCTTGGTGGGATACAGCTCTGCAGCCATTATCTTACAGTCAGACAGCAGGCCGGGACATGGCAGCTCCAGGACCGGAGTGTACTGCTGCTGTCGGACCGGAGTCTGGAGAGAAACGCAGAGAGATGCCCTTTATGTTCAGACACTGAGAAAAGGCAACCAAACTTCAATATAGGTCAAAGGATCATCAAAGACCCCCAGCAATCCATAAGCAGTATTTGATCCTTGTAAAGTATTTTATTGTACATCCTGTTTTTAGGTCATTCTATTTACATGTATTTAGTTCACTTCTCCTGCACTACTTGCAAAATCATCTTGCACTATTTTTACTTCAGTTTGCACTATTGTTTTATTGTTTATGTCTTATATATATTATGTTTCATTGTTGGAGGAGCTTGGGGCATTGTCATTGCCATATCTACACTGTGGATAGTGTGCATATGACAATAAAGCCGTTACATTTGACGTTCATTTTGAGCTAACTTAACGTTAACTAAGCTAGCCACACATCCACATCCGTTACACCAGTTTTTTTTTACTTAACACTCCATAATTTCCACCTGACAATATATAATACAAAGTCAAATTAGTCGTGATCAAAGTAAAAAATGAAATAATTAAGTCAACGTCCAGATCCAGGATGATTTTCTAGTGTTAACTTTAGCATGTCTATGCTAGTTAGTTAGCTGACAAACCAAAAGGTGCTTTTTCGAGTTAATTTCTCGCTTAGCATTAAACTATTTGGCGATAAACTGAATGTATACTTACCTAAGTGTTATGTAGACGCGTTTATAATCATATCTCCTCTCCGGGTTAAGCAGTTTTTTGGTTGTTTTAACAGACAGGCGGAACAGCTTTGTTTACAGGAGCTAGCTAGCTTCTTCTGTTAATGTTTACTGCAGAGTCAACTCATTGCCGGCACTGCGCTGCCCCCTGGCGGCCGGAAGCTGCAAGTACACTGTATTATAATGCACAAATAACAACAGGTGGTTGTTGTTGGTATTTGTTTCCTTTTTTTCTGTCAATAATGCAATTTCAAAACTCACTCAATTGAATTATTTTATGCATTCCCATTTTAAATCCCTTTTTTACATAGCTTTATAAATATTTTGCTAATAAATTGAAATTATTTTTAATAACTAACTATTTTTTAGAAGTATTTCAGAATTGGTTGTATTACCAATTCTGTTTACAAATACAAGTAATTAGCTTTCATGTAAATGGGGCATTAAAGGAAACATAAGAAAGAATACAGAGCAAAAAATAGTATTATTATACTAAGACTTTTGTAACCAATAAAAAATAAAGACAATATTTCCACAAAATGTAAATACGTAAGAAACTGAGTACAGTAAAATAAAATATAGAAATAAACATGTTCAAAGGGTTTTGAAGGATTAATAGTATTCAAAGACAAGGCATTGTTTGCATGATATTCATTAATGTAATGCATTATGTTTTTTGGGGCTGTGGCGCAGTGGCCTAGTGCGTTGGTGTTCAGATCAGGGGAGCGCAGGTTCAAACCCCACTGCAGTCAGCATGTCGTTGTGTCCCTGAGCAAGACACTTTACCCCAAATTTCTCCTGTGAGGATTGCCCACAGTATTGAGTGTGTAAGTCGCTTTGGATAAAAGCGTCTAACAAGTAACATGTAATGTAATGATAAGAGTCACATTCCTGTTAATAGTGAAATAACAAAACTGAGTCAATAACTATTTGTATGTATATTTGTGCATGGGTTCAGCTTCCTGATAGTGTGTTGGTGTATTCTCCCCATGTGAAGCTGAAAACAACACACACACACATCATGATATACAACATATTCCTTTATTGTTGTTACTGATAAATCCCATTTTGAAAAAAAAGAACAACAAGGAAAAAGGAGAACAACACCTGTTTGTACTTTATGTACAGCCAGCATCTAAAATCTCTCTTTAATAGAACCACTGTACACGTTAAAGGACAACAATCATTTACAGGCAAACTGAACCGTCTTCATTCAGTTTGTGGGTTCAGATCTGCATTTGGCCACTGAAGACGAGAAAATATAAATCTTAAAGAGTTCAGCTGCCTACGTCACTACTGGCTAGTTTAGTGTGAGAGACGATATCAACTCTAATGCTTTTATAAAACAAAATGTAAAATGCTAAATGAAGTTCAATCATTGGCGAACATTGCTCGGAAAGTGGAAAAGGTACACAAAAGTGAATGGAGTCTGGTGTTAGTCAGGTTTGATTCTAGTCCAGTTGTTTTTAGATGAATAGAGGATGAAAATAAACCAAAATGTGACGCTTTATTTTATTTAAGCTTTCATTTAGGGTGCAATAAACTGCCATCTGTAGACAGCGGTGATGTAACTGTCATGTTTCTGCAACACCGTGATAAATGACCTCAACAAGCAACCAGACTCCATTAAAAAAAATCTGTTTCTGCTCTTTCAAGCTTCCCTTAAAAGTCTCAATTTCACAATTGTACAACCTTTTTCTTTTGGCTTGTGACACTTTAAAGATGCTCAGTGTATGAAACCCTCATCCCAGGCTGAGTTATGCTGTTCAACTTGAAATCCATTGGTATAGTTTCTCATAGGAGGGCGGTGGTGGCGAGGTCCATAGGGACTTGGCTTGGCAGCTGGAAGGTCACCAGTTAATTCCCGGAAAGACCAAGTACTACCGAGATGCCCCTGAGCAAGGCACCGTTCCCTACACTGCTCCCGGGTGCCGTACATAATGGCAGCCCACTGCTCCTAACACTAGGATGGGTCAAATGCAGAGAAAACGTTTCGTTACATAGTACCTGTACCTAATGACAATAAGTTGAATCTTCAATCTTCAATAAGTAACTCGTAACCAGATTTTCACAATAAAAAAACAAATGTATTTATTTCTCTTCTCTTTGTAATCACCTCAGGTTGGGAAACACTGCTTTGGATGTTTTTCAGTTTGTGTGGTATTAACTCATATGTGATATTCTCTTTGTTGTGTATTTCTTTTTTTATCAAAGTAGAAATGCTTTCAACTAAGAAAATTGGGATTTAGTTCCTGGTTCAGAAATGTTGGATCTACAAATTGTTTACTTAGCTATTGGCATACAGTAAGCCATTATATTTTTGTCCCTGTTAAGTTTAAAGGGGCCCTATTCTGCTCATTTTCAGGTTCATATTGGTATGTAGTGTCTCTACTTTAAAGAGTCCTCTCCTGCTGATGTTCAGGTGTATATCAGTATGTAGTGTCTCTACTGGGACATGTCTCCTTCCTTTAATGTTCAAAAAGCTCTTTATTTTTCTCATACTGCCTGTGCTGCAGAACCTCTTTTCACCCTCTGTCTGAAACCAGAGCCCAGTCTGCTCTGATTGGTTAGCTGGCCGGCTCTGTTGTGATTGGTCAACCACTTAGAGATGTCCCGCCCCTTAGCCTATCATGTACGATGTGTTGCAGTGCTAGCCAATAGAAACGTGTTACAGTGTGAAAGTGATGTCCCTATGTCACAGAAGTAAACAAAGGAGGCGTTTCAATCCCAATTCTATGGAAATGTAGTCTCTGCAGACCATTAACATGCACAAACAACGATATAACACACAACAGGAGAGGGAAAACCCCAAAGAGCATAACAGGGCCTCTTTAAATTATCTTATTTTTTGGAATAGAAATATCTAAACTCGGTGTGTCTGATGAACCTGAACGGATGAGTTGTTTTCTTCAGGATTTAAAGTGAACTTTTTGAATAAAGAGCTTTTAAAATGTTCCAGAATTTAAAATAAAACAAACTCTCGGGTCAGATTTTCGGCCTTTTAACGGAACAGCACTCAAAACATCCTGTCACTGAACTCAGATTACGATGAGGAGGTGAACAATGCATAATTTCACAGGAAATCTGAATTTAAACTGCAGCCATTGACTCTCTAAATGTGTACGTGTAACATAAATAATATTTGATCGTTCAGCTCACTTTAAAGTCCATAAATGATTCACTGAATTTCCCTTAAATTACACCACGTTTATAAATAGATCTGCTTTAAAACTGTACACATATCATCTGCTAACCCTTTTTACACATTTGCAATTTTAAAAGAAAAGCAACACAAAATCCGACACAAAACTTTCCCCCGTCTCACAAACAGCTGCAATTTTTTGAGATGATAATTTGGTAAAAAGCAACAAACAAAGTGTTATGTAGTGCTGAGAGGTAAAGTCAAGTAAATAAATACTTCTTACAACACCAGCAGAAACCCCAAAGGAATACACTTCAAGTAAAACAAGAGAATAAAAAAAATATCTACCTGTATTTTTTACAATTCTGTCACCAAACACAAAAAGTTGTTTAAAAAACTAGTTGTTGCTCAAAATAACAAAAATAATAATTACACAAAATACAATATTTTCAGGCAGTCAGCATATAAAGCGTTTTACAAATTTGGAGGGGAGTGTGTGTGTGTGTGTGTGTGTGTGTGTGTGTGTGTGTGTGTGTGTGTGTGTGTGTGTGTGTGTGTGTGTGTGTGTACTACTATACGTAGTATATACTATATAGTA